TGCAGGCCTCAACAAAATTGAGACACAGTGATGATTATGGCAGACGTTTGGGTCATCCCCAAAAAATGTGTGCCTGTGAGCGTGTGTGAGTGTTTGTGTGGGGTATGAGACATACAGTTGTAGTAGACCAGTGTGACTAAACCTGCCCTGTCTGGACAAACTAGACTAGAATACTGTATAATCATTCATAATGACCCTCAAGTTAACAAAAAGCAACATTATTAGATACATGGCCGAATTTACAGTCCATCAAATCGATGCACTGTTTTCACAGCTGGCCCCATAACGGATATGGAGACTTTTTCCACAAAAATTCAACAGCTGGACGGCCCACTAGGAATTTGTGGGGTGAAAGCTGTTGGACAGAATCCTAACTTTCCCCTATTCAGTGCTACTGGCTTGAGTTAGCCAGATTCTAATCTCAACCAGTCCAACAGAAAACACAATATTATGTCTTACCCATCCTTTTAAGTCAGACTAGGAATTCCCTGCTTTTGTCACTGAGCTATTGGTTCCAGTCTTTTCCCATCAGATGGAAAAGTTCTGTTTATTCTTGTCTGTGCTCATACCATAGGAGGATATTGTGTAATGTCGCGTGATGTAATGAGAAGCAATGTCTAGTGTGGTTTTTGTGCCAGCAGGTTGCTGACCTCTGTATTTCCAGAGGTTTTCCAGTCAGTTAGACAGCTATACATTCTAAAAATGAGTGGCCTGTGACATGAATTGATTATAAAGAACGGTTTGAGGTTCTTTATATATACAGAAATCACCTATGACTGATTATGATACACAAGCCACGTAGGACTGATGACGTCTTTTGAAATGGCTTATGATGTTACTCTTGGATTCTCAACTGTAATCTGTTTATTTATAGACGAAAGGAAACTGTTTGCTTTTCTGCTTGATCATGCATTCCTGCTCAATCTGAATGCCTCAGAGCATCCACCCACATGAGGCTAAACAAAGCCCGCACTTCGCCCTACAGTATCAAATGAGCTCCAGTGAGAGAAGTTCAACTGACGCTTGTCATGCACTTCTGGAAAATGCAGGTTATTGGGACAAAGAACTTTACTCGATACACATTTCATTAATTGAGTTGCCACATAGTTATTGATTGGACATTTGAATTTTTGAAGCACCGTATGTAATTTTCTTATATGTGACATCCTTGTAGAAGTATTACCATATATATTTGTTAGAAATGTGTATGTATGCTGTACGTATTCACTATATGCTATACAAATGTTTTGCTTCTTAAGAATGCACCATACAGTTGATTTTTGCACTGGATGTGAATGTTTTGGTTATGAAGATGATCTACTTTATTGCCACCATCACATCTTTGGTTGTCAAGATGAGAGGTAATAAAAGCTGCACCTAGAATAAACTGTAGATCTGTTGTTTCCTTTTTGTACCTTAACTAATACTGCATAGAGACTGTTTACACCTAGCATCAAACTATCAGACTACAATTGCATCACTTAAACCAAATTTGGAGGCGAGATGGAGCAAAGATGGATCTTGACTACATTCAACACAAGTGTAAATGGAATGAGTTTTGATATCTGTTAAAAATTGAGCAGAAATGCTGACCAGCAGGTGAGAGAATGAACAAGAAAATGAAAGAAGGAGGATACATAAACTGGAGTAATCTCCAAACCAAGAGCCTTCTTGCCTTCTGAGCTGATGAAGTTGCCCAAGCCAAGCTTGTTGATTTGTATCAAGGGGAAAAGTAAACAGCTGTAAAACACAAAAACATATGTATTGATGTGCTTTTTATGTGAAAAAGTAAAGTTGGATCTCTTCTGGTCACAGCCAAAGTATGTCCAGATACAGTCAGTACATGTAACATGTTAATGCAAGGTAATATAAACACTCTTCAAGCTGACTTTCTGTGCTTTAAAGCCACACTATGTAAGATTTGGGGACTTGGAGACCTCTCTGGGGGAAATATGTAGTTGCACGCAAGAACATTTTCTAACATCGCTTGTGCTTCAGACCTTTTCTGAGTTGATGGATCTGATGATCGTAAGTGTGCTGAAAGAGTAGTCAAAACTGGGTGAAGGATGTGTCCTCCAAAGATGTAAGTGAATGATCTACTATTGTCAAGTTGATTAGGCATTTGAGGTATAAACATCAAGCTTGTACATGTGACGATAATATGTAGAGATGTGACATTGTCTGAAAATGTCTTTTTAAATCATTATTTCAGTGTTTTTTCTTCCTCTGACTTATTAAAACTACTTCTTTCTATTTTAACCAAAAAATCTCATACATAATGCAGCTTTACTTTCACAGTTATTGTTTTCTTTTACAGAATCAGCTCAACATTGGCAGAGGTGGGGAACCACTCCTGTGCTATAAGCTGGCTAAGGTGTGTACTTCCACTCTGCGATTGTGTTCAAAACCTGTTGTAACTAGCATAATTTATTGAGCGACAAAGATGAGTCGGGGTTAACTGATAGACTACATTCTAAATTGCAGTGGATTTTCCAGTCAGCCAGTCACTTCCTGAAAAGCTACCAGGCCGCACATGACCACACACCACGCTAAATGGCTCGCTACTCTTATCAGTCTTTTTCCTTCTTTCCTTTTTTGTGAAAAAAAAATGTAAAGAGAAATGAGAGACAGTCTGAGTGTGAATGTGTGTGTGTGTGTGTGTGTGGAGTGTCTGAATAGAAATTTCAGGCTGATGTGTCAGAGGGGGTCAAGTGGGTGATGCGTGGGTGAGGAAGACAGTGAGGAGCCGAGGAGAGACTGGACCGGGGCACATGTTTCAAACTGGGGAAATTTTTCACCCTTAGGAATCATATTTATCGCTGATGTTAACACAAGCATAATGTAGTTTGAAATGGCATTTCTTTTTTTGTAGCTCATTGAAATAAACTGAGAAAATCTGCCAAAAGTGCTAATTCTAGGCTTTTAATCGATACCTAATGTGTTTGTGAATAGATAAGAAGATATTTTATTATGACTTTGATAAAAAAGTTATAGTTCTGTACAGAGTTATTTTGCAGAATAAGAACATACAAATGGAAGAAATTTGGTAGTGCAAACTCAAATCTGCTGATACAGGGTGTAAATGTCAGTTTTAAAAAACAAACCAATTAATCATCTCACGAAGTAGTTAGTCTAAGAAAACATCAACAGCTCTGGACTTCTAGAGGAATGTTTGCATTTGTCAAAGTTTATATTAATATGTAGTACTTTGCAAGAGTCAGAAACAAGCCTTTATTTATTTTCTGGTCAAAATGGAAAATTGCAAAAAAAAGGAAATACATCAGAAAACGTATTTATCAGAAAATTACACAAAAGCCTCAACAACCAAATAGAACATCACATTTTTTTAGTATTTGGCATGTCCACCCTTTGCTTTCAGCTTTCATTCTTTCACATAAATCTGCAGGGATATTTTTCCACACCTACAAAGTTCAGTCTTAGAAGTTGGTTGAATTGTCTGCTTCTCACTGTCCAAGTAATTCCAAACACATTCAGTGATGTTGAGGTTTGGACTCTGGGGAGGCCAGTCCAATATTCTGAGAACACCTCTAGCTTCTTTGTTTTCTCAACATCTTTTCTTCTTTTCTGTCTATTTCCTTTTCTCGGTAATGACCTCTTGACCGCTACGCATCCTTTCAAGCCCAGAGAGTTGAGTTAAGTTGATTGAGTTAAATTGAGTCCAGCCAAGTCAAGCCAAGTTGAGTTGAGCCTCACAGTGTGAGAAAGTTGCATAAAGCATGGACGGAAACACTTTTCACATATGAAGCAAAAGTGGAGCTTCTCAAAGATGAAAGCTTTATGTGCCATTTATCTGATGGTGACAGTTTCAGTGGTTTATCAGGCTTTGCATGGTTTTTAGGAGTCCTAATGTCTGGATATACTTTGATTTTTTTTTTAACTCCACACTGAAAAAAGTGGTGTATATCAGGTTCACACAAGGTACATCAACTTCAGTAAGTTAAATTAAGTACTTAAACATTAAGTACTTGTGATGTATCATATTTCCTTAATGTGGTTTTGAATCGATGTGACTCAAATACATTTAAAGCAACCTTTAAGCAGAGTTTTGCATATTTTCTTTTGGCTTTCCTCTTTCCTATGCAGGTGGTTTATCTCATATCTAATCTCTTCCTGAAATATCTCCTGGAAAATGAATAACTTGTACTAAATGGCTGTAAAACTGAAAATGAAATAAGTTAAGGGTGGCCTATGACTTTTTCAGAGTGCTGTATCATACGAATAATATGTACATATATACACACATTACTGCATGTGATTATATGACAGATGTCTCTCTACTATCTCAATCTGAGTGAATGTGTGAACGTGTTCATAAGCATGTAGGCCTGCTGACACAAGGAAGGACTTCCTTTGTCAGTGGCATGTCAGCACCAAACGGAGTAGACTGCGGATCACATGTGATACTTACAAAGTACTTCAAATTTACTTCTGGTGAGCTGGCAGACTTACATCAATAATACTCCAAGTACAACCCTTCTCATAATATAAGCCACGTGCTGAAAAGCAGGAAGCATACAAATCCACTGTGGTCTAGCAATAATGACTGGACAAAGTGATTTTGCTAATCTAAACCATGTACAATCAATCTACTTTTAAACTTACTTTGATCCTGGTTCTCCACTGTGTGTACACATCAGAGGTGACTCTCTCCCGGTACGAAACTATTTAACTAGAGGAGACAGAGAACTCATTGAGACAGAGCAGAAAGGCAATCGAAGGAAAAAAAAAGAAAAAAATAGAACATGAGTTGATGTTGAACCAAGTGCAAAAAATAAAAAACTGATGAGCTTGAGTTCTTTGGAAGAAGATAATAGTTTAGATTTTGTTTCTGGGGGCTTGAGGCATGTGGGCGAGTTTTTGAGTTTTTTTTTTTTTTGTGAATTAGAGTGAGTCAGAGAGAGTGAGCGAGAGAGAGAGAGAGTGTGTGTCATCGACATACTATAAATGGGAACCCTTACACTAGTCTAAACATTAGTTGAGTGATAACGTTGCTTCTCACTGTGTCTGTTTACTACTTGAGTGTTTGGGATAGCCATGAAATGTAAGTGTTTTGCATCCTATAAAGCTTTGATTATAACATGGGACTATGTTGTAGTGTAAACATATACAGGTGTGAGGTGGAAAGGAAGTTGAGGGGAGATTATGGGCTTATAATGGAGATTATATGACTTCTGAAGTGTTAAGTAAATGTTATTTCTGAAGTGTCTAATTTAGAATTTAGAACTAATTTGAATTAGTTTAGTTATAATTAAAGAAATACTAGACCTGGTGCCAGAAATGCAGCCAAACAGCATTCATATTACATTTGTCCATCTTCTTGTTAATATAATTGCTGCGTCTTTACATAATATTGTGTAGTCAATCAAATGTTAGTATGTCTTTCAGACTCGGTATAAGGTCTCTATTGGAATGACTTTGTTTGTGTAGGCTTTCACTGCTGCTGACCTTGATATGCATCACTGCAATGGGCTTTGACTCAGGATTGGATCATTAATGGCTGTTTTATGTTGACTGTCGAGGAAGTGTGTCTTGTGAACTTTTCCAACCAGACATGAGGAATTGATGTTTGCTTCAAGGCAAAATCTGAGACAATTATGCTCTCTGTAATCGCTGTTTACTTGTGTTATGGTGCTAATTGAAGTTCAATTTTCAACCTTCAACATTTTCAACTGATTTGAGATCATCTGATTTGCAGAATGTGGCCTCAGATCTTTTAGTATGTCTAGGTGGTCATAAGGAAAATCTTTTACTGCTTAAACCTTCATGTGCATAAAGGAAGTACTTGCTCAGAAGTGTGTGGGGAGAGTTAAAAAGCTGTTATCACTGAAAATCACAGTGGTTTATTTCTAGTGAATTAGATGGATGTTGTTTGGGTGAAAGGCTGCAGGAAGTAACACAGACTTGGATTTATCAAGACAATCAGATCTCGTAGCTAGTGTCATCAGGTTTCTGACATCACTGTTATCAAATCTGTAAATCAGGCATGCCATGTTTGCCAGTGCCCAAGTAATGCTTGGTATCAGATGGCTTTGTCGCTACAAAGAGACCAAACGTAATGCATTAATGCACAAATGCCCTATCAGGCCTGTGGCTATCTGAGAAACCCATTATACAATTCTACCAGTAATCTGCTGGAGAGATTCAATTAAAGGCTTGCAATTATTTGCTTATGCCGCATTTTTGTTAGAAACTCAATTGGTCTGATGTTAGTGACCTTTAATCATGTGTGTTAGAGGCAGGGGGAGCCTATACCAATTGCATGTTTTACCTGTTATGGCATGATATAGTACAATGTTGAGAGATTTTACTGAATTTAATCAGATCATAACCTTCAATGCACAACCATGTCTAGGAGCACTCTTTTCAAGTCAGCAAAAACAATAGATCAGCTAACAAACACTATCTGAGGATTTGCTTGCTACAAATTACAGCCACTGTTGACAAACAGTGCAGGCTAAAATTAAGTCAGAGTGGATAATTCCCTCTTGGAGGCCTTTTGTTACATTATATAAGCAGAATAAGCTTAAGTAAATACAGATGGAAGAGGTCTGGCTCTCCAGTCAGGGATCTCTAATATGAAACTGGAAACAGTTGGGGGAGGGGGGGTTGCATGAATGTAAGGCATTTCTGATTTCAAGGAGCAAATTACACTATTTTGAAAACCTGGGATTTCCTACGCAGTTGTGTGTGGGGGAAAAGGGAGGTAGCCAACATCATTGCGAAGCCAGAAAGAGAAAATGACCTGCAATAAGACAGGCATTTGTGGGTTTTGCAAACTGTGACTGTGGCAGCCGTTTCCTTTGGATGTGTTTTTGCCAGTGTGATGAGATTTCATCACTCTTGGGCAGAGTTGAGACGGTTACAGTAAATTTAGGAATGATGTCACATGGAATGGGTGAAAGATCTGAAAAAGCCCTGACTCACTTCCTATCTTCAGAAGAGCGTATCTCTTAATCAGGTCAGAGTTGGGTTAGCTTCTTCAAAAACTAGACAACCTTCAAAGCCCCCTTTCTGGTTCTGCACTATGTCATGGTATTTTCATTGACCATATTTAGTTTACTCAGAAATTGTGTGTCTCATAAAGAGTAATCTAGGCCCAGACTTCCACACTTTCTTGTTACAATAACCACTGCAAGTGGAGTGGCAGATCTGCTCTCAGATCTACTGCCGAGATGAAAGTGTCTAGGCCAATGCCTCAGAGATGACACAACTCTGTCTGCACCAGTGTTATCTTCTTAGACAGCTTTTCAGGGAGTGTAGCAGCTGCTGATGGTTTTCAGACATACTGGAGCACTTGTTCAAAAGGTGCTGACTCAGAGTAGCTCCCAGGCAACTGTTGAGGTGACAGAAACATAACTTTGGACTTTCCAAAAAAAAATCCCCTCTCTCTCTCATTTTGCTGACAGTGCTGCCCGAGTCCACCTCCTTCCTGCTGTTTTTGCTGCTATTGGTCGAGCTTCCGGTCTTAACGATGTCTCGTCCCACCCCTGTGAGACCGCACAAAGATGGTCTGACGACACTGCTTAAGCAGATGCATCAGCTGCTGAACCTATTGCAGAGAGTGCTGGTAAGTTTAATGTGGGTTCACTGGGCCACATGAAATTGATTACATCATAGGGGCTTTCCTCTGGGCTTGGTGAGAAAGTTCTGCACAATATAACATAGTAAGACCTGCTGGAGCTTGAGTATAATGATGGTGTACTCTCGTTCTTCTGTATTCTGTACATAGTATTTAAATTTTAAGTTATTTAGTGATCATGAAGCTCCAGTTGTTCAGTGTTTTACAACATCTAGTCACACTATTGCATATTCTTTATTGATGAAGCATCTGGCATTTTTCAGAGCGACTTCGACACTCATATGCCGTTTGAGCATAAGATCCCTTCCCTGCCTACTATAAACTTCAGGCCACAAGACCTTGCAGCAGTGGAGGTAAGACATATTTTGTTTAATAGATCAGTCTATAATACCCAGGGGTGGAAACAATACAACTGTGTCTAAGTGAAAGTACTTGAGTGGAAGTATAATCATATGCAAAGGCTTGGGCATCTCTGGTGATATTACATGTTTTGTTGATATTTACAGTGAAAATAAGTTAACACAACTTCTGCACATTTTAATGTAGAACTACTGTTTATTTGCTGAATGTAACATAATGTGGCACATTTTATATTCTATGTAAAATGCCATGTTTAAGTTAACTTAGAAAATCAATAAAATGTCATTTAACCCAGTGAATCCAAACATTTGCATATGACTGTATCTTTTCTATATCTTTTATGCATACTCAAGAACTTTGAAGGTCTAAATGAAAACATACGGAATAAAAAGTATGTTTTTTCCTTGAAAAATGTAATTGAAGGAAAGGACAAGTATTCCATTTCAATACTCAATTAAAGTAAGTCTTCCAACGTAATTCTTACATACAGCAAAGTAATACAATCACTTGCGGATTTTCCACCCCTGGGAACCACCCACCACATTTCCCACATAAATCATACTTGCAAATATACTATTTATCTCACATATGCAGATTGTTAACATTTGCTTATTTACCTTCAAAGGCAGATTCAACTCTATCTCAGCTGTCTTCTGGCCTCAACTCTTTCAAGTTGCACTTTGACTGGTTGCTGCACTGGCAGAACCAGTCTGGTTTGGTGTCAGATGAAACCAAGAAGATCGCTGAACGCATCCAGTTTATCAACACTCTGGTCCACAAACAGGTAAGAGTGACAATCGTGAAGTAGGGGGCAAGCTCCTTTTAATGCTGAACATTTGTGTGAACTGTTAAAAGAGGCAAAATGACAGGATGGCTCATAGTGTACAGAAGGAGAGAGGGGTGTTGGTTGACACAGTTTTCACTCTCTACCATGTATCCCACTCATAACATACATTAGGAAAAACATTTTAAATAAAAAACATTTTCAATGTCAGAAAATATTTTCAAGATTTAGTGCATTTATAACTAATTTCATGTGATGCCCTTGTGCCAACCATCCCCAACCTGTGTTATGGGGATAGTTGGCACAATGTCAAAAGGCTATAGTTTCAAATAATTAAGCAACAAATAGAAGTAATCTTTTAATTTAATAATCTTTCACTTAAACCAAAACACAAATATATCACATTTACAATTATCACATTTATTTTATTGTTGAGACAATAAAAAGCACAGTAATAATCTAGTAATAGTAATAATCTTTCATTAGCCTATATTAACTATATTTAGTTATGCCATTTTCATCTTGAGCTAGACTTATCATCAAATGGCCTAAAGCTAAAGCTTAGAGGTAATAACCACTTGTTCCAAATTCAATATAATTTAATGTAAACAGTGATATAGCAGAGTTCTGCATTTTAATTGTCTTATTTAGTTTGCTACTTAGTATATGTGAGGCATATAATATAAAATAATACCTATGACTATAGCCCTACCTTTTGGCAGGCTGACACATGGGCCAACCAACCCCAAAATCAACAGGCCAACCATCCCCACTCAGATCAGGACACAACTCTGAATTTATTTTATGTTAGTACACTAGCATTACTAGCTTCTATAATGTTTTTATTCATAAGGAACTGTAAGGATTGTAACATTCAGAGCTCTTGTCAAAACAGATGACTCTTTGTCACAAAGGCAACTATTTTTATGTCACTTTTTTGTCAGAATTCCCCTACTGACCCATAAGTGAACACTGTGCCAACCAACACTGTTCTTCCCTGATAGTCTAAATAACTTTTAGCTTTGAGGTGTTGACTTGTACCACTATATAGCTTGTGTTGTACGTGAGATTCCTTCTCAAAAAGTCCAATTTTGTATATTAAAAAAACAGAAATAAAAAAATATAATCAATTCTATTTATATAATAGCATTTTATATAACAGAGAAACAGGGTTTTTTGAATGGTGTGTAACAGGATAGTAGGAAGGGAAAGAGATAAAAGAAATATGTAATCTGAACACTGCAAATGGCTAAAACTCGTTATTCTGGAAGGAAGTTCTTGATATAAGTCAAAGTGTGAAAAACAGAAATAGGAGTGATTGTGTCTGAGTAGGAAATTAAAAAATAGCTTGGTTTCCTGCATAAACTGGATTTCCTTGTTTCAAAGAAAAAACCTCATAGTTTGTTTAGTTCAAGAACAGGCTTGACATGGGTTGCTTGCATATGGCCTAAATGGTTTGTACTCTTTCCTAGCAGCTGTTTCCAGGTTGGGAAAGCTCTGTAGAGCTTAGGATGAAATCTAATTCAACAAGAACTTGTAGGGTACTTTATTTAGAGTTTAGAATACTTTGCTGAAAAGTGCAGTTTTCAGTTTTAAATGCTACTCATGAGCATGACTGTGTACCTGTGGCCTTCATAGAATCAGGCAGGTTTGAAACAGCAATGACAAATATGAACCATGCGACTTTATTACACAATCTGATCTAACAGTGTGACGTTTCACACACATACAAAATAAATATGCTTTGACATTAATAACACTCTAAGTCTAGGTATTTTTTTTACAAATCCTATGTTGTATGCTACAATTTTACCTTAGTTTCAATGGAATTGTTGCCAACCTTCTGTATAGCTTAACTGAGCAGAGCCTGTACAGGTCAATTGCATTGCGTGTGACAAGTGGATCTGCTCTTAATGACCACTGTCTCTGTTTCAGATGCCGCAGTTGCCTCCTGAGAGCACCACTCTTTCCCTCCCTGCTCTTACCTCTGCCTGGGAAATATTCCAGACATCTGCAATAGTACACAGAAGACTACTGCAGTTCTGTGACTGGTATCTCAGAGCTCTTCGCGTCCTCTCCCACCAAGCAAACAAAAGGCAATAGCAGATTCTTCCAATGGACACCAACATCACTTGATCTCCAGTGTGTGAATGTTGAATCTAGAAGATGAAGGCACTGTGACAAATGATTCCTGCTTGCCTTAAAATATCTTACCATAGGATGAGTTTTTCAGGCCATGCTCTGCTAAAAAATAGCATTTCAATGGCCTAAAGAAGACATGTTTCCTCCCAGACACATTTTACACATGAACAAATTCCTATTTATGATGGTACTATTTTTCTATTTAAGTGTTAAGTTATATATTTAATATTTATAAGTATTTATTGAAGGACGTTGTGTTTACAAATGAAGTATTTTTATACATGGTGAGTGGATGAAAACGCACTTTATGTGAACTCCAGGATATTTTTCATGAGGGCTTTGTTTTTTTTTTTTTATGGGGTAACAAAACAGATGAAGATGAAAGCATAGACAACTCTATCATTACTCTTGATTCTGGACATGGTTAAAGGCAGTGGGCCTCTAGACAGATGTTTTTGCTTTTACTCAGATCCCACTACACCTGAACCAGGTAATCAGTGTTAATGATGGCTGAAATCAGTTGGGAACTGTGGTAGAGCCAAAAGCAGAAAATCGATGGTGTCCATTGATTTTCTGATTTTGAACTAAATAAAGTATTTGCCTACAATCGAAGCAAGGCTCCAAAACATGTAGTAAGTTACTTAAAGTGACATTCCAGCCTAGCATTTAATATGTTATTTGACGTGTTATGCAGCATTCTGTAGCACAGTATTGTATCCATCATCAGTTTGATGGAATTCATGATTTTATGTAGTTTTCATGTTTTTTTTTCATCAGCATTCTCTCATTACAATACCCAGCATGCCTTGCTCAAATTTGTCTTACAACCTTTGAGAGTCCTCGCAATCCTTACCTTTAGGATATATTATCAGAAGGGGTGTTTCCTAGTCTTTAAACTAGAAAATCCTGCTCTGGAGATCACTGTGGCACCATCCAAGGAGGTATTTTAATTGATATATCTATGGTCAAGAAGTTTTGTTTAGGTCAATCAATTGATGCTGGGCTGCTTGCCTGCTGCATCATAAATTATTGAGGATTTATTTATGTCCTTTGCCATTGCATTTCAGTTGAATAATTCACTTGGAGTCATTATGTTTATAATTCACTCTTAATCAATAGTGGCAACTGCTAAGATCACACTATTTTGAGAGAGAGAAAGTAGAGGGGACCGCTGATCAATCTTTGCATATGTTTGGTCCTTAACGCAGCCCACATCACAGCTAAATTTACAAAATAATGTCAGGATCTTAATTGTACATTATATTCCACATAAATTAGTTTAAATACATAGTAGAGCTATGCTAGGCACATATCAAAAAGACAAACTGTTGTGGAAATAAATTGGTTGTTATAGTTCATAATCATGTAGCTGGGTTGCTATGCCTGCCATACACGTAATGTAGGAGACTGTATGGATGCCAGTCAGTGTAGAGCACTGTAGTTATGTACTGTACTATTTATTTTTACTTTTTTATTTTATTGATTTTGTACATCATGTGTTTTAATAAAATGTGTCATGTAAGCCTACAGTTTTTTTTCCATTGCTGATCTACTTTTCCATGACATTCCTAGATGTAGAATTCATGGTCACTTAATAATAATAATAATAAGAAGAAGAAGAAGAAGAAGAAGAAAAAGAAGAAGAAGAAGAAGAAAAAGAAGAAGAAGAAATCCTGCAGAAATTAAGATGAGATTAATGCTCAGAAAGCATTCTGTAAATTGTTGTTTGAAAATACTCCAACACTTTAAGGGGGATTTCCATTTCTGCATGATTCAGTGGTTGAGACATAAACAAAGTGCTCTGATGTGAAATGCTCAATTCCAGAGAAACTGACAACAGTGCCATTGTAGTTACTATCCAATTTGGCATCATAAATGACCACTTTTGACCAAAAGCTATTCATATATATATTTTATCTAATGTTCATGACAAAATCAAACAAGTGGGGATAGAGGCAGAATTACTGCTGTACTGGACATCTTGCTCCCCTGCTCTAATACACCTAATCACCTCATCAGCTAATGGTAAAGTTACTGTGAGCTGATTTATGTGAGTTAGAGCAAAAAACCCCAAACCCTATAGAAGTACACATTGCTTGTGTCACTTGTGAAATGTCACGTCAGTAGCTTTCATCCTACAAGTAGAACTATGGTGTCCAGTAGATGGCGTTATAAAACAAGAGGCAAGCTTAATAACACTTGTCTCTCTAGGGCAAAGGTGTACAGTGCCAGTCCAGCACTGTTTGGCAATTTCCTTGCTCTAATACACCTGACACAACTCATAACTCATTAATTGCCATGTTTAGTGGGTGTGATGGACTGTGCCCAAAGTTCCTAGTCCTTGTCTTGGAGTATCCCTGCAATACATATTTAAATTTTTCCCTGCTGTCAACACACCGAATCTGACTCATCAGCAACATTATCAAGCTTTGCAGGAGGGTATAATGGAAAGGTGTCCAATCTTATCCATAAAGGGCCTGTGTGCCTTCAGGTTTTCATTCCAATCATGCAGGAGCACACCTTATCTACTGTTTGAGGGTTGATGCCAACTGATTAAACAAGTGGAATCAGGTGTGTTCCTGCTTGTTTGGAATGAAAACCCGCAGTCACACCATCCCTTTATGGATAAGACTGAACACCCCTGGTACAATGAGTGTGTTAGAGTAAGGTTATGGCTATGGCACCAGTATTGGGAAACTGCCCTACGGTTAAAAATAGGTGCTGCGCAATACTCATAATTATATTGGTGGCTATAGCGAGCTGCAGTGCTACAAGACTGCATGCATCGAAATTGGTATAATTAGTTTTTTGTGGCTTGAAAGTTAAAAACAGCAGCTGGAAAGCTGTGTTCCTATTTAGAAAGCTGCACACCCTTTAAGGCACTTTTTAACCGTATCTGTAGCATATGATCAATTACTATGAACAATCAATTTTGACATGTTACTTGGTAAAAAACTGAAAACAATTGATACAAAGCACAGTTATTGTAGACGCTAATAGGCAGTTACGCATCTTCTGTGCTTTTACCAAGTGCGGGGAAAAGCACAAAAACTATTGTTATGGTAATTTACTATATGCTACAGACATGGCAGATAGAATTATGTTGAAAACACACAAAAAACACAAATGACAGAAATACACCTTTTTGTGAAGACACCACCAGTGTAAGACTCTGGGTCTCATCCATCCTTTTATTTAAAAAGGTTTAGTAGTGTTTGTAGTAACTCAGAAATTAGGAGGATCAATGTACGTAACTACCGAAGCTTTAATAAATGGATAAATCCACTACATCTACCTATGTCACGACATCTTCACCTTCGAATGTAAGTCTGTTTGAAGACTGTTCTATGACATAATGTGAATCCGCTGCACAATTAGGCTTTTGAAGTAACCTCACATCACGCCCCCATTCTCCAGAAATAAGCTTGTTTAACTGATTCAGATGAATGTGATAGCACCGTAGCACCGTCAGGCTTCAGTGAAATGCACAGATGATTCCTTTAATAGCAGCATTGATTGCTTTAAAGATTGTTTGGCAGCAGTGTTCCGTGAACGTCAGCGGTAGACACTAAATGCAGCAGAAGTAATCACCTCCAGACAAATGGACCACGGTAATTCTACTGCTACCAGGGTGTAATGGATATGTCCCTCAGTGGGTTGAGGGTGCTGGCTTAGGTGAAGTTGGGGAGCTTTGCAGGGATTTGGCATGTCCAAGGCAGCAGAACTGGCAGGGCTGTGATCAGACCGTCAGGATTGAGCTGCACAGTAGAGTCTTCCACAGCTGTTCACTTTGTCACTCTGACCTACACAGAAAGACAGTAGTGGAGAGTAAGCAACTGATATGATCTTCTGAAACATGAGACATGCTTTTTTTTCAAAGTGCACATAGAAAAGAAAAATCTAAACAGAGCTCTTCTTTATATCTGTGTAGTTTCCCCTCAACAACAATGCTTACATCTCTTGCTGCTTAAATGTTTCTCCTGAGAGAAAGACCCCAGTGTGTCTTAATAAGGTCACACATTGAACTCAGATTTGCAAAAAAATTATTACACTCATGTTCATCTGCAGCCAAGTTATCTTATCTGTACTTTATCTGTACATATATGCATTATCTCCACTGTTTCTTATGTCTCCTTTTTTGTCCAATGCTTTTCCTCTATGGAATTTTAAGGGAGTCATCATTAACTGTCCTGACCCATCATAGAGGAACATTTGAGCAATAAAATTTTCCTCTGGTTAAGAAAGAAAGCGAAAGGAGAACTGAGAAGAGGAAATGTTGTGGTCTTGTTAGAGAGAAAAAAGAGAAAGTGAATGAATGAGGGCAAGTGTGAACCTGTTGAGTCAATTTAGATGGCAGTGACTTCTGCTTACTTGTAGAGCCAACAGAACAAATCAACAGCAACGGACTCCACCATGCAGTGCCCAGTGGGAGAAGTTGTGAGTTTGTGTGTGTGCACTTTGTTTTACTCTCTCTGCAAGAACTAAGTTAACTATGTTTAAAATACAAAATTGATAGTAAAAAAAACTTATTCAATTAATTCAACACAAATTAAGAACATTTGTACATTTTGCAAAGCCATTGTTGGCAATTACAGCTTTGAAGCATCTACTGTAAGCAGTCAATAGTTTATTTGCCGCATTGTGGTTTAATCTTGGCCTATTCGTCTTGGCAAACAGTCTTCAGTTCCTCAAGGTTAGCATCCCTGGGATGGACTCACAATTTCAAATTCTTCGATTTAAGTCACAGGATTTGCTAGACCTATCAAGCTCTAGCACTTCAGTTCATTTGCAAAAACAGAGATCTCCATTTTAATTCATTTTCATAAATCATGTTTTTTGTGCATTTCAGGTAATATCAATTAAGCTGCTATGGAGTTGTTTTGTTTAAGTGAAAATAACAACAACATATAGGTAACTTACAAAATGAGACTTTATTTTTTGTTTTTTAAATTTTGTTTTTTTTTTTCACAAAAACAGATGACTCCAACAGTCATTTCATGTTTCAGAGTTAAACATAGCCATGTAATGCAAATATTGCACTTTATGTCCAGTATAGAATTGTGCACACATGACTGAGTCCAATGTGGTCCTTAGTCAGACATTCTGTGCACTGTTTAGATGCAGTAGTCCTTATTTTAAGACCTACATAGTGCACTTTGTAGGGAGAAGGGAGCCATTTGAGATTCTGCCTAAAACAGTCCGCGGTAGTACTGCGTCACCTGACCCGAATACTGCACACTGATTTGCTGAACAGGTTTATCAGGTTCTCAAGCATGAAATGTGATCAATGCCTTGACAATGGACAATAACGGCTTTTGTGACAAAACATATTTAGGGTTCAGAATGCACTGTGTGTTAAGAATAAATTACGACCATTAGCTTATTTTCGAAAGGATGGTGTTTATTGGTTTTTGCAAATGAACTCTTCACTTTTTATAGAAACCAGTCTTAAGTTGTTTTGGTTGTATGTTTTGATTTGTTGTTAACTGTTGTTCCAGCTGCTTTCAGGTCATCCTGCAGCTCTTTTCAACTGATGGCTTGTCTCTTACCTTCCTCATCATTAGTTTGAGAGAAATCTTGAATTGTGTTGGCACACCTCTCAGTGGACAATTAGTTTTGGTTGCATAAACTTTCCAATTGAATGTTATCTAAACAAATGTACAGACAGAGTTGTTTAAGGGCTTCACTATTGCTCTGTAGCCTTTTCCAGTTGAGTGTTGTTGAATAACTGAGTGATCATACTCTTTCTTTTTCCAGGACATGGCCAGGCTTTCTAAATTACCTAAAATATCTTTGATTTGGGAATGCTTTCATGTTGCTTTCTACAGTCTGCCCCATGCCTCCCTCCTGCCCCCAGTGTCCTCGTTTCTGAAACCCAAAATTTGGTCACCCTATTAATGATGTTGTCCCTTTAGATATTTAGAAAGTGCCTTCACCTTTACCATAAATGATATATGTTGCATGAGATCTTTCCAACCAGTGGCAACGTGTTTCATAATGACACCGGCCGCAAGTTTTATTTTTTTCCACATTAACATTTACAACTTGATTTATTTTTATTTTCAACCTTTACATATTTATACATTTTAATGTAGTGTCTAAATATTTTTGCCTATTAGTTTTGTTTTGTTTTTAACATATCTTTGTTTTCGTCCTGTGAATTTGAAGTTAATATATTCACTGGAAGTATGTTAAATCACAAAAATGAAAACATAACTATCTGAATACTTGTTTTCCTTCACTGAGCAAGTCTATTTGCAATTACTTAACAATTTGGCTGTGTGATGATTTAGAACCATGAGATCTATATAGGTCCATTTCATGCTTAAATGGTTCTTAGCATGATGAAATGGTTCTTCAGATTGATGGAGAATGTGTTGCATATGGTTCCATATTGAACTTTCTTGAAAATGGTTCTATAGCTTGACATTGTAACAATAGAAGCACACTTTTCTGGTGCTCTATAGAACTATTTCACCATGCAAAGAACCATTTAAGCATTAAATGGCTCGATGCAGAACTCATGGTTCTAAATAGAATTATTACGTTTACTGAGGAAGCCTTGAAAAAGGGTTCTTTTTCTTTTTTAGGAGTGTACGGCTTAAATGATGCTGATTGGTTGAGGTTCAAGCTTCCACTATTTGTCAGCCTAGCAGCTCCAAAGCAAAACGAAAGAAGCAATCTTGCACATTTTTGGAATTTAGATTTAAATGATCTCTTTGAGCTGAACTAAATATATATTTCCCCAAATATCAGTTAAAAATGAACATCTACATGGCATCAACTGTGAAATGAGGTGTTACCAAAGAGAGTAATGTGTGTGTGTGTGTGTGTGAGTGTGTATGTGTGTGTAGGGGGGGGCATTAGTGAGCGAGAGCAGAGAGAGAGAGGCACCATGTGTTAGTATAAAACTCAAACAGAATAGAGAGCAGAAATGCGACATGTGACAGCAGGGTAGACATGCAGTACAGAGCTGTAGATCGAGTGTCTGCATGCATAAACAGACTGGGGTGAGAGTAACGCTAAGCCAAATTGCCTGATTTACAACCGGTTAACATACAGGCTTTCCATCGGAAAAGGCATATGGGCAGAGTGACCTAGCACTCGGAACAGACCATCTCTACAGCTTTCACCTGCAGCCAACATGACAGTAAGTCATCTAATGCACAGTAATACAAAGTATTTTTTTTACTTATTTATCTGTTTTACAGTGTCCAAGTACAACTTAAGTGTAATAAAAGTTATTCATTAGATTTTCATAAAACTATAAAAATTTATAAGCTTTTAAATAAAAATCCAATAGCATGCTCAAATCTATGTATTTTTTGTGGTAGAGGTTGAATACTTTTATGACATGTGGCTTGAAATGACGCACTACCACATATCTCCCTATACTTGAGTCTCTAATATAGACTGTCAAGGGACATTTGAAGGGTGCATCAACAAAATGTTTAAACAAAATTAGTGTTTTATAAATAGATAGAGGATTGAAAATTGAGTATGAGGACTTGTGATCAGTTGAGCACTCTAAAGAATTCCTCAGTGGTTCAATGTTGACTGATTTCTCATGACAATATGCTGAAATTAAAAATATATGTATATTTATAATCAGCAGCTACTTTTTTGTATGCTTATGGTATTGTATGCAATCTGCTACCAAATGTTTCTCAATCATCTAGTCGCTACCATCAGTGGTACACCACACCATATCTGGGCATGATTCATGTTGACAGAGAATAAATTCACTTTCTTTCCCAAGCCCAGTGCGGATATTGCGTAATCTAAGAATGTGTGATATTCAGACCAACAGAGAAGTCAGATGTGTGCAGTGATATATTTGATGTGATGTATTGATGTATTTAGCCTTCTTTTAATAACGTACATGTCTGTCTTTGAGTCTTCAGCCTCCACATAGCTGATGAACAACAGGTGTAGTAGATCCTGCTTATATAACCAAGCCATTCAGTTCATCATGTTGTTTCAGTATAACATATAAGTGCACCACCACGTGCAAACTCAAGAACTGATAAATCCTCATATTAGTGTTTGAGTTATTTATTTTATGAGTTATTTATTTTATACTCTTTTAAAAATAAAGGTGTCAAAAAGGGTTATTTGGGGCGATGCCAAAAAAACACACTTTAACGTATAGTTCTTTAAGGTGCCATATTCGTAAATAAGAACATTAGATTCATTAGATTTTCATAAAACTATAAAAATTTATAAGCTTTTAAATAAAAATCCAATAGCGTGCTCAAATCTATGTATTTTTTGTGGTAGAGGTTGAATACTTTTATGACATGTGGCTTGCAATGAGGCCGCACCACATATCTCCCCATACTTGAGTACCAAATATAGACTGTCAAGGGACATTTGAAGGGTGATGATTGGATGGATTGGATGTCTAATCCTCAGAATTGAGCCCCAAAAGACTTACGCAAGTACCAGCCTACCCTTCTTGTCAACACCAGGATATATCAGCGTGTACTATATGGGAAGAATCCTAGGGATATGGGCTTTGCTGCACCACTATCTCTGCCAGATCACCTCCCACCTAACACTGGGACTACTCTTAGCATTGTCAGTCCTGCTTCTGGCTGTCAGCGATCATGGCTGGGAAGCTGACAATACAGCTGTTCTTCTAATTCTGTTAAGACCCTTTGGATATTACATGACCTGATGAGTTGAATCAGGTGTGTTAGAGCAAGAAAACCAGTCAACAGTGCACCATAAAGAGGCCCTGGCACTGGACATAGACATAATGCTACAATGGAACACTCTGTTTGAACATAGTGTTAAAATGACGTGGAGCTGTCACTAGAAACGGGAGGCTTGCCAGCTCTATCAAATTACTGAAGAACTTGCTAATGTTTATCACTTCCCCTGGCTCCTTGATTACATTTCTTACAGACTGCCACAAGGCTTTTGGACGAGCTGTGCCACCTCACTGCTCAGTCGCTGACCTCGCTGAATCCGTCCGATCACTTCCAGGTCATCAAACTCCTGGGTGAAGGGTCATATGGCAAGGTCATGCTGGCAATGCATAAGAAGAGAGGTGAGTTGCGCATGTGCTTCACTCTTGGCCTGTCTTCATTGAATGGGCTTCACTTTCATCTCCCTACCCCATTTCATGAGGAACATTAGCACTCCTGTTCTCATATTTCATATGTCATGTTCTAATACAGTACTGTGCAGAAGTCAGAGATCACCCTTCATTTTTCAGTGTCATGGCAAAACAGCCATTAAGTTCAAGTCATTTTTCAGCACCAGAAGAAAAAGCAAAAGCATTACAGAAGTCTTCTTTTCAGTTTTTCAAAGAAATCTGCAGGGATATTTTTCTAAACTTCCAAAGTTTAGTCTTAGAAGTTGGTTGCATATTCCACTTCTCACACAAGTAATCACAAACACATTCTATGATGTTGAGGTCTGGAGAACACCAGCAGCTTCTTTGATTAGTTTACAAATTTCTTCTTTTTTGTTCTTTTCTCAGTAGCAGCTTCTTGACAGCTATAGCATTCTGGTTTCTGCTTACAGTGGAAGCATGGACAGAAACACCTGTCAATTTCGTCAGATCAGAAGCAAGAGTGGAGCTCGATTTTCTCTTCGCTCTCTAAATCTGATCTGTTTTGGTGGTCTATCAGGTCTTCCATGGTTGTTAAGAGTTCCATTTTCTTTAGATCTCCAGTTTGGAAACTCTTTTCACTTATTTTCCTTTGACTTTTCCCTTCCTAATGAAAATGAATTCTGTCAACATCTCTTAAAAAATAAATCACCTGCATTAGTAGCCATTTTGACTGGAAATTAAATAAATGGATGGTGGTCTCCGACTTTTTCAAAGTACTGTTTGTGAAACACTGACCACTTCAGCTTTGTTGACAGTTTCTCAGAATAACTTTTAACAGTTGACTGTAAAATAAGCCCCTCCTTTCTTAGTCACTGTTGCTATGCCTGTCAAACTTTCAGCCACCAAGTAGCATCCACAGTACTTGTGCGAGTTTTTACATCACTTGACAGAGGAAGCAGTGCTCATAATTGATTATGATTGGCAATCATTGTTTTGCAAATGGCTAATTGCCTTATCTGAGGATCAGACTGTTGACTGCCGAGACCCTCTGTTAATGTCCTGTGTGCTCTTGTATTGTCATGACTGCCATTTCATTCTACAGTATTGACCAGAGAAAGGTATGCTCCCCTTTTTGAGAACTGGTCCTTCTCAGGGTTTCTTTTGCATGCCCTTGTGTAATTTTTCCTAACATTGCTGTACTCAGTGGTCATTAGTAGGTCTGGATCCACAGTTCTGTAAAGCTGCCTTGTAATAGGGATTGTTGTTAAAAACTATATATAAACAAATTGAATTTTATTTTGAACTCCACTCATTCTCTCTTTTTCTCTTTTTTTTCTCCTGGTCTCCTAACCTGTGTAAACCTTAGGTACTCCAATGGCTTTAAAATTCTTTCCTCGTGACTCGACCTCTCTCTTCTCCTTTCTGAGGGAGTACAATCTCTCTCTGGCATACTGTACCCACCCATCTCTCACGTCTGCTCTGGGAATTGCCTTTTCCACCCCGACTCATTATGTCTTTGCCCAGCAACCCAGTCTCTATGGAGACCTATATGATGTCATTGTTCCTGAGGTTTGTAAAAATTTCCACTGTTACTGTCCACCACTACTACTCTAGATAAAAAACTCCCACAAAAGAGAAAATGAAAATGCTCCACTCTTGCTTACTGAGACAACTCAGCACAAAGCTATATATATATATATATATATATATATATATATATATATATATACATATATATATAACTATATAACTATATATATATATGCTTTTAAAAAATACTGAAACGCAGTATATATATATATATATATATATATATATATATATATATATATATATATATATATATTAATTGTATGTGTGTGGTATTGTATATGTTAAATATGTAACTACTGTACTGTGTTTCAGTATTTTTTTAAAGCATGATTCAGCTAATACACTGGTGACAGGTCCCTAGTTAGAATAGGGATATGATGTCACACTGAGTGTGTAATCTCATATCCCTATTCCAAGAAGTACAGATGAGGATGCAGAATCTGCAAAACGAATAGCATGCTGTGGAAAAGCTATCCACAGCAGGCTATTCATTTTGGCTGAAGTGGTGCCCTGGTTAGATAGCTAGTGGTCAGCACATGTATAGTTGCTCCTTATACTTACAACAGTGCATGTTTTATACACATTTGAAGTAAGTGCCATTAAAGCCATGTACACTACATGGATAAAAGTATTGAGACACCTACACTTTACACCTACAGGAGCTTTTATGACATCCCATTCTAAATCCATAGGCATTAATATGGAGTTGGTCCCCCCTTTTGCAGCTATACCAGCTTCCACTCTTCTGGGAAGCTTTCTAAAAGATTTTGGAGTGTGTGTGTGGGAACGTTTGTCCATTCATCCAGAGAAGCATTTGTGAGATCAGACACTGATGTTGGACGAGAGGGTCTGGCTCACAATCTCCGTTCTAGTTCATCCCAAAAGTGTTTGATGGGATTAAGGTCAGGACTCTATGAAGGCCAGTTAAGGTTTTCCACACCAAACTCACCCAACCATGCCTGTATGGACCTTGCTTTGTGCACTGTGGACCAAACTGTTCCCTCAAAGTTAGAAGCATACAATTATCCAAAATATTTTGGTATGCTAAAGCATTAAGATTTCCCGTCACTGGAACTAAAAGGCCTAGGCCGACCCCTGAAAAATATCCCTAAAGCATTATGCCTCCTCCACCAAACTTTTCAGTTTTCACAGTGCAGTCAGGCAGGTAACACTCTCCTGGCATTCGCCAAACCCAGACTTGTTCACCAGACTGCCAGATAGAGAAGCGTGATTTGTCACTCCACAGAATATGTTTCCACTGCTCCATAATCCAGTGGCAGTGTGCTTTACACCACTCCATCCAATGCTTGGCATTGTGCTTGGTGATGTAAGGCTTGCATGCAGTTGCTCAGCCATGGAAACCCATGGCATGAAGTTCACAGCGCACAGTTTTTGGGCTGGTGTTAGTGCCAGAGGAGGTTTGGAACTCTGCAGTTATTGAATCAGCAGAGCGTTGGCAACTTTTATGCACTATGCGCCTCAGCACTCCACGACCCCATTCTGTAATGTTTTGTGGTCTGCAACTTTGTGGCTGAGTTGCTGTGGCTCCTAAATGCTTCCACATTTCAATAATATCACTCACTGTAGATCATGAAAAATCTAGGAGGGAAGAAATTTCGCAAACTGACTTGATGCTCTGCATCATCCTATAACAGTACCACGCTCGAATTCAGTGAGCTCTTTAGAACAACCCACTCTTTTACAAATGTTTGTAAAGGCAGGCTGCATGGCTAGGTGCTTGATTTTATACACCTGTGGCAATGGGACTGAATGAAACATCTGAATTCAATGATTAAGAGGTGTATCCCAACACATTTGTCAATATTGCGTACCCGGGACTGCAAAGAACATTTAAATTTTCTTTTTCCAACTTAATCTAAATCTGCTGCATCTATAAATATTTAGTCAAAAGTATTTATGAAATATGCTGAATTTCTGTGTAATTTATTCTTCCAGAGATGGAACTATTTTTTCAGAGGGAAGAATTTGCGATGATTTATCACAATCATAGTGATGTAGATGGCGTTTTTACAGGCTTCTGTCTGAGTGTGCCTGAATACCAAAAACCTAAGAGAAAGCAAATGTAACTGGAACTGCTTTTTTAATTTGTTGTGCAAGTGTTTGAAATGGATGAAAATTCATAGGAAATGCTTTGGTGAGATCTTCTCTCATGTCATGTATTTGACTAAATAATACAGATGTGGCAGATTAGAGATTAAGTTAAAAGATGCTGAAGTATTCCTTTAAGCAAAAGTTCTCTCTCTCTCCTTTCCTTTAGGTGGGCCTGGAGGAGTGTTGTGTTCAGAGAGTGGTGTCTCAGATCAGTGGAGCTCTTTCTTACCTCCACACTCTTGGCTTCGCCCACCGTGATGTTAAGCCGGAAAACATATTCCTGTGTGACCGAGACTGTCGATGGGTGAAGCTTGGTGATTTTGGTATGGTGAAGGCAGTGGGTACCAGGGTCCCCTGTGTGTGGTACAGCTCCCCCTACTGTACCCCTGAGGCAGAGATTGCAAGGGAGAAGGAGCTGAGCGACTCAGGGTCCCCCTCTGTGGATGAGAATGGCAACAAGAGCAAAGAGGGCTCCCAAAAGACTACAAAGAAACGTATATTAGTCTCAGTAGAGGTCAGCACAGACAGCTGGGCACTAGGAATTCTGATCTATGCTATGCTAATGGGAAGTCTTCCCTGGTCTGAGAGTGTTCTAGACAATGTTGCATATGAGAGGTATTTCAGGTGGAGTGAGAGGGGGAGGATGCAAACTGAAGACAGTGAGTCAGATGGTCTTGAGGATTTCTACTATGTAGCCCCACAGTTCACAGCATTCACTCCATTGGCCTGCTCTCTCTTTCGGGCATTACTGCACCCAAAGCCCAATCTTCGAGCAACACCAGGGGAGGTAGCTGCATATCTGGGAGGAGCCTGGCTGCTGAGTAGTGACATTAGTGGGTGAAGAAGCAGAATGAAACAACCTGGTTGTAGCAATGGCAAGTTTCAGTGATGGCACAAAAAGGACAAACAACATAAACTTCAGAGTGTTTTTTTTTTTACTTTTCTCTTTTACATCATTTTTCATTATGTATCTTTGGGAACACCGGCACTGCTGCTGTCATGCTTGCTCTCATGTAGACGAGTCTGGCATGGTGGTTAAGTTAACTTAGCCAGCGACTCTTTAGGTCACAGACTGAGCTAAACCTAGCTATGACTAAGTATAACCTGGCTATAACTGAGCTAAACCTAGCTGTGACTAAGTATATCCTGGCTATGACTGAGCTAAACCTAGCTATGACTGTGCTAAACCTAGCTATGACTGACCTAAACCTAGCTATGACTGAGCTAAACCTGGCTATGACTGTGCTAAACCTAGCTATGACTGAGCTAAACCTGGCTGTGACTGAGCTAAACCTGGCTATGACTGAGCTAAACCTAGCTATGACTGTGCTAAACCTAGCTATGACTGAGCTAAACCTGGCTATAACTGAGCTAAACCTGGCTATGACTGAGCTTAACCTGGCTAGGACTGAGCTAAACCTTGCTAAGACATAGCTAAACCTAGTATGACTGAGCTAAAGCTAGTTATGACTGAGCACAACTGACACAACTGGGCTTAACCTGGCTATTACTGAACTACACCCAACTAGGACAGAGCTAAACCCAGCTGTGACTGGGCTTAACCTGGCTATGACTGGCCTAAACCAGGCCATGACTAAGCTTTACAAGGCTACGATTGAGCTAAACCCAGCTATGACAATAATAAATTAAAAATGACTCAACAGCAAACTAGACAAAATAAAAATGTTTAATGGACACAGAAACAAATGACTCATAGACAATATACAGGTGATGGAAGTGATTTATATGCTATATTCAACAATACAACATTGTTTTGTACTAAAGCAACACACAATGCACAAGGTCTTCAGAATGACTGTTAATACACTGTTGCCGCCTACTGGATATATTTTAAACTGCAAGAACAGACATATTTAAATTATGATTATTTATGAAACATAAATATTGTTGTTTTTAAGGGTTATTTTGAGAATGAGTGTTCAAGTACTTCTTCGGACATACCAACAAGTATTCAAAGTGGGCCAGCCATACTATGTACTTTTTTATGTCCAAAATTTAGAGAGTTCAGATACTTTGAGGTGCATCTATCGCTGACAGAGGTGTGCACACACAACTTGTATAATATCTATAGAAACACTTTGGCGATGGAATGGGCTGCTTTGTAGCATCCATATATGAGCTAGTGTCAAGCTAGAGGGGTTTATAGCCCCCAAGATTTAGGACTTTGGGATAAACTGAAGTGATGTTAGTGATCCAGAATTAATCGTCCAACATCAGTACCTAGCCTCACTAAGGCTCTTGTGGCTGAATCCAATCAAATACTCACAGCAATGTTCCAACATCTAGTGTGAAGACGTCCCATAGGAAGTTTTTACTGCAGCCAACTCCCTATTAATGCCTTTGATTACAGAAGAAACGTTGGACGAACAGTGTCTGCATACTTTTTGACATAAAATGTATGGACATGCAATTTAGGTATATGTTCATTTTCAGAACAGATTTCCTGTATACCTGCTTATGTCTTTGTTATAATTGTCTTTAAAGTGTCTTTTACAGCATTACACCAATTCATTTTACATTGTATGAACACTTTATGATGAATGGATTGATAGAAATTAGTCTAAGAATGATAAAATAATAAAATAACAGTAATGCCTTAGTACGTTTTTTCTGTTCTTCTGTAATTTTGATGGTGCTATACAGATTATCTGTAAATGCTCAAACTATTTAGTGAATCTCCATTGATTATATACAGGGTTAGGGTCATTTTAGTAATAGTTTAGCCATATGGTTTTGGTCTGAAACATTTTTTATAGTCCATTCTACCGTCCGTTCAAAATGCAGTCCCACAGAAAAAACAAACAAACAAACAAACAAATAGATAAATACATTTTAAAACATTTTAGTATTTAGTTCTTAGATATTTACAAAGAATATGTTATGATCTACTTAAATCCAAGGCATTATTAGAGATAGTGATAACCTAAATATACATACAAAATTTAGGTCATAGGTTATTTTAGGTTAATTATAGGTTACATTTTTTAAAGTGAATTTGAAAGATTTAAATTCACCAGTGAGTTACCAGTGTGTAACAGCAAGAATTGTCACTACTGAAACATTTTCTTCAATGAAGTAACCTTTTTTGTGTTTTACTGAAAAAATATTATAATTTTATATGTGTACAACCATTCAACGCTGTGTTTGCTAGTCATGTACTGGCTAACATTTTTGAGTTATGATCAAAATTAGCTAAAATTGTCACTACTGAAACAGTCACTATTGAAATATTTGGTAAAGTTTCTGAAGCATTATTATTGTAATGGCAGTGACAACATACAACATAATTAAGCATACAAACATAATTAAGGCATAGGATCACTCAAAGCTAAAGGATTTTTTGTCTAAAGTCCAATTCAGATAAAAAGTCTGAAATGTATTCTCAACTTAGAATCAATTCATTGTTAAAAACTTTACATATAAAATTTTGGATTCACTGGTCATTTCAGATACTAAATTAAAATGGCGAAATTTGAGTTGTAGACTTTGTGACGCCTCGTTTCTATCACCACCACTGTAAAGAAATCCAGGTCAGTGTAATCTCAACAATTGAAACCCTTTAAATTGAGACTCTTTTCCATCACAGATGACTAAAAACTAATTGGGAAGTCTTCAATCTTGATGTAGTGCTGCTTAAAATGTGTCATGTGATTAAATAATGTCTGTGGGAAACGGAAAAAGAAACACCTCTCAAATTTCACTGTGCAGACACACACACACGCATATCATGACATGATGTGCGAGTCCCAGTGAGCTGTCCCAGATTTAAAAATAAACCTGTACACCATTTATTAGACATTAGCACCCATCATCACCCTCAACCCACTTACTCACACACACACACACACACACACACACACACACACACTTGCAAGCACCTTCAAACCCTCAGGTTTAATATAAAATGGTTACACCAAAATGATCATTTACTTTAAATCTAAAGAATTTTTTCTTGCTGCAAACTCTGCCAAAATGATTTATGGTAAACCTCTAAAAAAACACATCAAAAAGGTATTTTTTAATACCTAGAACAACTTTAAAAATACGTAGATTTTGTTTTTTTTTTTCCAAATATAATTTTTACTAAAATGGTACAGTTTATACATGTGAATACCATGCATGAAAGGGTTAAGGGTTGTGCTGTCACTCTTAGCCTTTGCTTGTGAAATCTTGTATTCTGCTGCAAGTCAGCTTAGCATGTTTATTTGACTTACTTCCTGGTTGTTTGTCTTAATTTCTGGGCTCTTATTGCTGTTATTGGTTTAGTGCAAGTGCTGCTTGTAAAAGCCGACTAAAGTGTCCCTTTTTGTCAGTTTGGCCTTGTTTGTGACAGAATGCTGTGCCAACTCACAACAGACCCCACAGCTAACAAAACTGATTCACAGATGGAATCAGCTAGCTTGGAATCATTTATTCATCCACAACAAAAGTGAATCAGTCAACTATAAGAGCAACTTGCACAAAAGGCACAGCAAACCAATCAACTCACCCAACTGGTACAATAGCTCAGCCAATGTCTGGTTGCTCCAGAATCAATTTCATCTGTGAATCAGGGTGATGTGTGAGGACTCCCTGTTCTTTTCCATGATTTAAAGATTTCAAAACCAGAAAAGTTTGTTGGTAAAACTATTCAATGTGAAGGACTTCTACTACTATATACATTGATAATCACACAATGTTTCAAGAGTTCTGACAAACTCTTCTAAAATTGCATTTATCATCTCATCACTGATTGAGAGAGAGAAAGGATGGGGAACAGAGACACAGTCATTTGAGTGATTCACCACATTGTTCTTGACTGTTTTTGACCATCCACCAGAGGGCAGGGCATCAGGAGAGGAATTATTCAAGCTAAGGCAAGGTAATCAAACTGCAGCTGATTATTCACTCACCTTTTGAACATTGGCAGCTCAATTTGGTTAGAATTAAAAGGCTTTTATTCAAGCCTACTGCTGTGGGCACAAACCTGAGTTGCAAAGAAAAATAGCTTGTCATGATTCTGCCCTGACCATAGACCAGCTATTAGCCCTCTTGATCCTTATGGATAAACTGGTGCATGAACACAACCCCAAAGCATCTATACCTCTCGAATTCAGAGTGAATCCCTGTGAGCCTGAACATTGGAAATGGCCCATTCCCGTCTGCCTAAGGAGGAACTGGAGCGACACATCCAGAATGGCTTATGCCTGTACTGTGGCATGGCTGGCCACCTGTGATGTAACTGTCCAGTGAGACCCCTGTGTCAGAGCCAATTGGTGAGCTAAGAGTCTCTAAACATTATTTCTGTCTCACTGCTTATTCATTTAAACCAGTAATGGGATAATGGTTGTGTAAATATTGCAGGACTAATTGACTCTGCTGGGACAGGCAGCTTCACACCTAATTTGAGCCTACAGCATTTCAGTCTGCCCTGTGATCCATCTTTCCATGTAAAGGGTCTGGATGGTGGAAGGTGTTGGAAAGAACACTCCAACTGTCAACCCACTCTCCAACTTTATATTCATCACTGTATTTCATGCACATGGGCATTGTTTTAAGACTCCAGTGGCTTCGTCTTAATGTTCTGGTTGAGAGTTGACATATCAGCTGGTCACCAAAATGCTCAGACCATTGTTGCCAGCTCCAGTGTGGTTCTTTGTCGATAGGACGTCCAGCAGTCCAGGGAGTAGAGTTTATGCCAAAAGGTTGTCAACATCTGGCAGACATCTTCAGCAAACACAAAACTACCAGTTTATTGACCATGGCGAATGGAAGACAGTCTTCTCTACACCACTGGCCACTTTGAGTACCATGTCATGGCCTATGGTATGGACAACGTTCCAGCTGTGTTCAAGTCATTCGTCAGCAAGGTCCCCCATAACATGCATCACAGGTATGTGACTGTTTACATAGATGACATCTTGGCATACACTCGCAGCCTGGAGGAGCACATAGATCACATGAGTTCTGCGTTGGCGAGGATGGTGGATCTTTCCTCTGTCTCCTGCCTAGGGTATGTCATCACAGCTGGAGGTGTTTGCATGTAAAAGAGGAAGGAGCAGCCCATGCTGGAGTGGCCATATCCCCAGTCTATTAAAGAGCTTCAGCAATTCCTGGGTTTTGCCAACTACTATGTAGCACAAGGGTGCTCGTCACTCACTCACTCACCTGCTTACCGGCTGCAGAAGAGGCATTCAGCTCTCTAAAGCTCAGATTAATTTTCTAAAGTTCAAGTTCTTTACCATTTATTGTAGAGGTGACACCTCTGAAGTAGGAGGGGGAGCCACTCTGTCCCAGTGCCAGGGAGCTCCTCCCAAGATTTTCCCCATTGCCTTCTATTCTAAAAAGCTATCTTCAGCCAAAAGGAATTTTGTGGGGAACTGGGAGTTTCTGACTATCAAATTGGCCCTTCAGGAGTGGCATCATTGGCTGATGAGGGCCCTTCATCCTTTCATTGTACCAACCACAGGAACCTGGAGTACATTAGAAAAGCAAGGTGAGCTCTCTTATTCACGAGGTTTCAGTTTGCCATCCTTTACAGACCCAATTCCAAAAATGGGAAAGCTGATTCCCTGTTGAGACCATATGACCCAGAACCATCCACAGCCAAGGAAGAGACTATCATTAAGTCCACCTGCTGGGTCACTCTAGGATATCTCCAATGTAGCAGCAGGTTACCCAAGATCCAGTGACAAACCACCCAATATGGTGTATGTTCCAGAGGTTGTTCGACGTAAAGGCAGCATCCAGCTGGCAAACTCTAACCTGAGCCTATACTTCATTAACCCTGGATGCACCTATCAGTGGACTTTGTCACAGACCTGCCAGAGTCAGAAGGTAACACAACCATACGGGTGGTGGTAGATTGGTTTTCTAAAGCATGTTGTCTGGGGGTCAATGTGAGCCTTACTTCAGGCCACCACCCTGAGGCTAACAGCCAAGTGGAGAGACTTATCTGGGATATCTGCGCTTTTACTGCGCAGACCATCAGGGTGATTGGAATAGGTTTCTCGCCTGGACCAAATACGCTCAGAATTCCCTGCTTCACTCATCTTGAGGACACTTTCCTTTTTAGTACTACCTGAGACACCAACCACTGCTAATCCCCTGGATCCTGGCTTGAGAGGATGTACAGTGGTGGATGAATGGTTTCGGCATGACGAGGGATGATGATGTACAACTGAAAGGGGCTCTGAGACAACAGAAAATCTGAACCAGTTGCCACTGCGGGGAAGTTCAGGAGCGCAAGTAGAACAGAACCTGGAAACAGAACCTTGGTGTAAACTTGAGAAATCTTTCAGCCTGTTACTTTGGACCTAGCAAAATCATCCACCAGATAAATCCAGTAACTTATAGACTCCAACTGGCTCCTCAGTTCAGAGTTTCTCCCTCATTCCAATTTTATTTCCTCAGGCCTGTTGTTCCAGGACCCCTACAGGTAACAGTCCTCTGAGGTATGCCACCAACCTGCCCAGACCATTAATGGAGAACCTGCTCATGCTTTGAGGGCCCTCTTAGACTGCCACAGGAGAGGAGAACATCTCTAGTATTTAGTTGACTTGGGGGTCTAATTCCATGTGCCCTTGCACCATAACTTAGTCTTTTGCTTTCTGTTGCATT